AAGAGCTAGCAATCCAAAACAGTCCAGTGGAGCCTGAGTGGTGGGTGTTGCCTTCTGACAAACTTCCGGTGAGGTCAGGGGGTGTGGCATATGCAAATAAGCTATGCTAATGAGCTGCACCTCTTTTTCTACTAAATGACCCCTGGCTAGTAGACACTGCTAGACTTATCCTCCATGAATCTACCTTTAAACCTGTTGATTCCTGCGATCATCACTACATCCTCTCGCATCTTAATCTGTGTAGTGTTTCCTTTTGTCTGTCCCGCTGTAGACAACATTGATCAGGCTGCACCTGGAGTCTTGTGTGCACTTCTGGAGGCCTCACTTCGAAAAGGATGTGGACGGAATGGAGCGGGTGTGGAGGAGCGCGACGAGGATGAAGGCCAGCCTGTGAGGAAAGGCGGAGGGACTTGGGAATGTTCAGTCTGGAGAAGAGGAGGTTGAGGGGGGACAGGATGGCTCTCTTGAAGTTATCTGAAGTGCTGTGTCACTTAGAGGAGGGCAGGAAGCTGTTCCTGTCAGCAGTAGAGGAGAGGAGTCGCAATAATAAGTTTAAATTAAGGGTGGGAAGGTACCGGCTGGATATTAGGAAAAACTTTTCAACAGTCGGAGTTGTGCAACGGTGGAATCAGCTGCCTCGGGGGTGGTGAGCGTGTCCTCCCTGGCCGTCTTTAAGCAGCGGCTGGACAGACATTTGTCAGGGCTGCTCTAGGCTGCCCCTGCATTGAGCAGGGGGTCAGACTAGATGGCTGGGATTAGACAGATTCATGGAGGGCAGGTCTAATGGTGGCTACTAGCCATGGTGACGATGCCCTCAAGTTCTAGTATTTTGGGACAGGGGGAAATATTTCTCTTTGTCGGCTCTCTCCATCCCATGCAAATCTACTATGAGGTAAGCCACTGTCCCCCCCCCTTAGCTCAAGTGGTTAAGATGCTGAACTGCAGGCTGTGGAAGGTCGGTAGTTCAGCAGTTCGAGACCAGAGTGTGCCGCATGACGGAGTGAGCTCCCGTCTCTCGTTCCAGCTCCTGCCAACCTAGCAGTTCGGAAGCAAGAAATTGCAAGTAGATAAATAGGTACCACTTCAGTGGGAAGGTAACAGCGTTCCGTGCGCCTTGGTGTTTAGTCATGCCGGCCACATGACCACGGAAACGTCTTCGGACAGCGCTGGCTCTTCAGCTTTGAAGCGGAGATGAGCACCGCAACCCTAGAGTCGGACTCAACTTGGCTTTCGAGCAAGGGAACCTTTACCTTTACCTTTTTAAGCCACCCTGAATTCAGTGGGACTTTTCTTCTGTGCACACGATGGGACTTCCCCCAAAGCCAGCAGCTCTGCGAGAACTTCACTTAGCCCTGTCTACGTTTGGGGTCAACCTGAGGCCTTGACGCCAGGTCTCACTGGAACTGTGACGCAAAGAAACCTAAATTACTATCACTGGCAATTTCTCTAGCCCAGGTCAGTGCTTCAGTGTGCTTTACGATGTTCATTTACTCCTCCTACGACCCAGGGAAATAGTTTAGGCTGTGAAGCGATAATTTACCAAGCCAGTCCAAAAGCAGACAGTCAGCCCAGGATCTTGCACCCCCCAACCCAACTCCACGCTTAGCTGACGCACAATGAACGGAGAGGAAGAGATTGGATTTATACCCTGCTCTTCACTACCCAAAGATGTCTCAGAGCGGCTTACAAACTCCTTTCCCTTCCCCTCCCCACAACAGACACCCTGTGAGGTAGGTGGGGACGAGAGAGCTCTGACAGGAACTGCTCTTTTTCAAGGACAGCTCTTATCAGAACTATGGCTTGCCCAAGGTCATCCAGCCAGGTGCAAGTGGAGGAGTGGGGGAATCAAACCCGGTTCTCCGAAATTAGAGTCCGCGCACTTAACCACGACACCAAACTGGCTATCCAAACAGGATATCCAAAATGCATGTGCAGCTGGGATTAGACAGATTCATGGAGGGCAGGTCTAATGGTGGCTACTAGCCATGGTGACTAAAGGGAACCTCCACATTTAGAGGCCATAAGCCTGTGAATATCAATGCCGGGAGGCAACATCAGGGGAAAGCCTCAGCCTCTCTGCCCTGTTGTTGGCCCTCCAGAGGAACTGGCTGGCCACTGTGTGAGACAGAATGCTGGACTAGATGGACCCTCACTGGTCTGATCCAGCAGGGCTCTCTTCTGGTGTTCTTATGAAGGCCTCGGCCTCTAGGCCCTGTTCTTGGCCCTCTGGAGGAACTGGCTGGCCACTGTGTGAGACAGAATGCTGGACTAGGTGGACCCCTGGTCTAATTCAGCAGGGCTTTTCTAATAGGCTGCCACAACTGAAAAATTCAATGTAATTTGCATTCCTCTTTTTGCAGCATCCCCTTAAACACAGACATGCACACTTTGTGATGCCTCGTCCCTTTCGCCACACGCTCCCCTCACCTTACTGACTCATCGCTGCAACCGCCAGCAACCGTTCAAGGGTTGTTTCTGTGCCACCTAAAAACACAGATTAGGGCCTCGTGACCGTAACTCCAATTCTGTCTCCTCTTAACGCCACTGACAAAATTGCTTCCGTCTTTAGACAGAGGTGCTAATTTAAAGACAGAACCTCCCCAGAAACTAAAGACCTGCAGGCTGCTGTGTCACCCCATCCACCTTTCCCGTGGTGTCAAGTGAATGACCCAGCGGAAACACTGGCTGAATCGGGCCAGATGGGTGAGCCCGGGACTGGGACACAATTCAGTTCCCACCCTTTGTGCAACATCACGGGATAAGCTCTTCCATCCTGTTTAGCCTGAGGAGAAGCGTTCTGAAAAGTGCCATTAAATCCACAGGCACGATGGTTCCATGATTTGCAGTCAGCCAAGATACAGCAAGCACTTAAGGGTTTTCTGCATTCTCATTTTTCTTACTTGTAAGTAGAGATGTGAAGGCTCGGGGAAAAAAACGGAAAAATTCTGGGAAAAAACGGGTTTTTTACGTTTTTTTCCTGAAGCCTTTTTGTTTTTTTCCGAAAAATTGGAAAAGTTGAAAAAAGAAAAAAAATGATTATGGAACGTTTTATTTTAACATGATGAGTAAAATATTTTAAGACAAGGTGTTCAAATATTTCCCAAATCATTTCTAAAAAATATATATGGTATCAGATTGATCTAATTTCTGTGCACGGAGGACAAGCAAGTCCTAGGTTACAAACTGAACTCTCCAATGCAAGAACAAGATGCATTTCTTCCTTTAGGAGGTGCTATTGTCACAAGAAAAGAAAAAGGTTTCAGTTTTGTTTTTGCATGTGGGTGGGTATTCTGTTTGTAAGAATTGTTTGGATACACTATATTTTTAATATGCTAGTTGTGATAATTTCATGCCAAGTAAAAATGTCCATAGTCATATTTTATGTTCCTAAAGTAACAGAATGACTTTCAATCTAGAAAAAAACAAAAAAAATGCCAATATAGCATTTTTTTTCAATTTTTCTGAAAATTTCCGTTTTTTTCCAAAAAAACCCGTTTTTTTCCGGAAAAAACTTCAAAATTTCCGGAAATTTTACATCTCTGCTTGTAAGTTCCTGTATCTTGGGGTGGGGTCTGTTCTGCATGTGCGTTGTACCCTCTAGTGGCCAATTCAACATTATGCCGGTTTATGGCTGGCATATCTCCCTGCAGGTTTAAACTGCAGGTTTCTATGCTGGACATAAATCGGTGCAATATCTACCACTAAACACAGCAAAGCGTGTGTGGAACAGACACACTCCCTCCCGAAGAAACAGGAACTTGCAGGCAAGAAAAATTAGAATGTGGAATGGTAGGCAGGTAATTTCTATCTACTAGGATATACCCTACCCCACCTTCCTGAGTAGATATAAATTACCTGCCTACCATTTTCTCCTCACCTTGACACAGAGAGTCCTCCATCTTTCTGTGTTATGCCTCTGAGGATGCCAGTCACAGCTGCTGGCAAAATGTCAGGCCCTACAATGCCAAGACCACGGCCAGACAACCCGGAAAATCTACAACGGCTAACAAAAGGCTCTTACCTGCCCCCAATCCTTCAACCACCTGGTTCCTGCTCTAGCCAAAGAGAAAACAATAGGCTTTTCTCGCACGCTACTCAGTGGCACGCCCAGATTTGCCGCTGGAAGTACACACAAGGAACCACAGCCCATTTTAGCCCCCTGCATGCACAATGCACTTGTCTGCACATTTGTCCCCCATTTACTTTTTTAAAGGGTACACCTAAAACCTTGGGTGCATCTTTAAAGATATAACATGTGGAATCGGCTTTATTTATTTAAAATATTTCTATGCCACCTTTCCACCCAGTTCAGGGTTCCCCAAGGCAGCGCACCTTAAAACAAAACGTTTTTGCTCCGTCCCATGTTTTCACCAAGAGCGGCAAACACTTCCACACAGAGTAGCCCTCATCTCCACAACGTTGCTGAATGTGGTAAACGCCTCACCTTAGTTCTTGTGCATTCGTTTTTGTGTTTTTTTCCCAAAGAAGAAAAGCCTGAAGCTGGTTTATGGATTCTATATTTCATGTGTGTGTGGACTAATTGCTATTCTGCTTAAAGGTTCCTACGAACCTCCCCACAAGTTAAGAATACAGAGAGGAGAGAAAGATGGAGGTCGGTATACCGGAAGGTAGGGGGAAGGGGAAGGAAGGAAATGGAAATGGAGGAATCAGACATTGCCTCATCTAGACAAAACAAAAGTGTTGGGATTTGTTTGTTATTAGGAAGCAGGTGCGAGTTGTGTAGAAAAGCCCTTATCCAGAAATCTCTTCCCGCTGTTCCTTGTTTCTGCGCACCTCGGCTGCATGCAGTTCCTGAAACACAGAGAAAAGAGATGGACGGTGAACGTCACATGTAGCAGGGACAGGCAATTTTCCTGCAAACCTGGGGGGGGCAGTTTGCAGAACTATATGTTTTCTGTCAGTGAGGCCCCACTTGACTGTTAGAACGTAGGTTAGTAGCCCTGACCTGGATAGCCCAAGCAAGCCCAATCTCATCAGATCGAAGAAGAAGAAGAGACTGGATTTATACCCCACCCTTCACTACCTGAAGGAGTCTCAGAGCGGCTTACAATCTCCTTTCCCTTCCCCTCCCCACAACAGACACCCTGTGAGGTAGAAGAAGAAGAAGAAGAGATTGGATTTATAGCCCGCCCTTCACTACCCGAAGGAGTCTCAGAGCGGCTTACAATCTCCTTTCCCTTCCCCTCCCCACAACAGACACCCTGTGAGGTAGGTGGGGCTGAGAGAGCTCTTGACAGAAACTGCTCTTTTTCAAGAACAGCTCTGACAGAACGATGGCTTGCCCAAGGTCATCCAGCAGCTGTAAGTGCAGGAGTGGGGGAATCAAACGCGGTTCTCCCAGATTAGAGTCCGCGCACTTAACTGCTACATGGAAGAAGCTAAGCAGAGTCGACTCTGGCAAGCATTTGGATGGGAAACCTCCTTGAAATACCAGAGAAAGGGAGGCGGGGGCAGGCTTTATTCAGCCATGTCTCTGAATATATTCCAGGCCCCCGGTAGGGGTCAGTCACCAGAGGTTGCCATGACTTCCAGGTGCACACACACACACACACACACAAAATAGGTTAGTCAGCACATCCTACGTTACCATGGTAAGAAAATGTGCATTTCTATATTTGCAAGGTTTCTTATGTGGAGAGGATTGGTCTGTTGGCTAAGCAATAAACTGAGGTATTCCTCCTAATAACAATTGCCTAAACGTGCATCTGTGCAGGCCTGTCGTTCCAACAGCAGCCACCCAGATGCCTTGGCATTGCACGGTCACAAAGTTGTTTGTGCGGGAGACTGTCCAGTTATGAAGGTGCACAGAAAGTTTATATAGTTATAAAGGTGAATATATACAGAGATATTTACAGGCTATCGTACAGCATGTCGTGCCTTAGTCCATGAGAACTAAGCCCCCCTCCAGCTTACTAAACTGATAGCTATTATGCTAAACCCCAGCCAATCTCTAACAGGGTGATGCAATCACTAGCTCTAACAAGCCCTGAAAGATCAACAACTGCTAGAAAACACCTGGCTGTAATTACATGATCACTAGCATGACAGCTAGGTCTGACAAACAGATCAAACTGATCTATAGTAACTGCTTGCTACCTCTATCACTCTGACATATATCTCAATACTCCCCAGCTCCATTGACATCAGAGGCCATGCTGGTAATGAGCTCTGTCGCTAGCCCTCTTCACATGCTTAGAGGCACTGTTTGGTGCGGGGCTCCTGCTGGGACTCGCCTTCTCGCGGAGCCTCTCCCTCAAGGCAGCTAGATGAGCATCGCGGATCTCCTTGCTCAGCTCCATCTTGTAGTTCAGTTTCTCCTCAGCCAGCCGGCTGAAGTTGTTGTTCTCCTCCAAGGCCTTGTGAAGGACTTCCCTCTCGTGCTCTCGCTTCTCGGCCAGCTGCTTCAGGACCTGAGCCTCCTGGGTCTGCAAGGAGGCCGAGAAACCAGGTTAGAGGGGAGGGTGCTGGCAGGCCGGCCTGGCCGTGAATATGCCTTTCCGACATCCTCACGAGCTCAGAGGTTTAGCGCTTTGCCTCTTCTGGGCCCCCACACCCCCTCCCTGTACCCTGCCATTTGACTGCCACAGGAGGCGGCGGTGGCTACAACCATGGACGGCTTCAAGAGGGAATTAGATAAGCACATGGAGCAGATGTCCATCAGTGGCTATTAGCCACAAGGTATAGATAGGAACTCTCAGTCTGGGGCAAGTGATGCTCTGTATTCTTGGTGCTTGGGGGGGGGGAGAGTGGGAGGGCTTCTAGTGTCCTGGCCTCACTGCTGGACCTCCTGATGGCCCCTGGTATTTTTGGCCACTGTGTGACTCAGAGTGTTGGACTGGATGGGCCATTGGCCTGATCCAACATTGGCTTCTCTTATGTTCTTATATGGAGCAGAGGTCCATCAGTGGCTATTAGCCACAAGGTATAGATAGGGACTCTTGGTCTGGGGCAAGAGATGCTCTGTATTCTTGGTGCTTTGAGGGGGGCAACAGTGGGAGGGCTTCTAGCGTCCCTGGCCCCACTGCTGGACCTCCTGATGGCACCTGGTCTTTTTGGCCACTGTGTGACTCAGAGTGTTGGACTGGATGGGCCATTGGCCTGATCCAACATTGGCTTCTCTTATGTTCTTATGGATTTCTATTCTACCCATCTCCAGGGCTGAAGTGTGGAGTTACAAAGACCTGAATCATCCCTCCTCCCACCAACATTTATTTATTTATTTGTTCGATTTATACCCCGCCCTCCCTGCCAAGGTGGGCTCAGGGCGGCTTACCTAAAATGCATATATAAATACAGTTAGAAAAACATACATAAAACATCCATAAACAAAAATTCTACTCTGTGAGCTACTGCCATTAAAGTGGTGAGCAGGTGATTTGGCTGCGACATAACTTAGTTTGCTCTGGAGCCCTCCTTCCTGAGCCGAGACAGAAATGTGTGAGCTGGAGGCTAAAAAACTGTGAGCTAGCTCACACTAACTCAGCTGGTCTGATCCAGCAGGGCTCTTCTGATGTTCTTATGAGGGCCTCGGCCTCTCTGCCCTGTTGTTGGCCCTCCAGAGGAACTAGTTGGCCTCTATGTGAGGCAGGATGCAGGACTCTATGGACCACTAGTCTGATCCAGCAGGGCTCTTCTGATGTTCTTAGGAAGGCCTCGGCCTCTGAGCCCTGTTGTTGGTCCTCCAGAGGAACTGGCTGGCCACTGTGTGAGACAGGATGCTGGACTAGATGGACCCCTGGTCTGATCCAGCAGGGCTCTTCTGATGTCCTAAGGGCACACTGTCAGGCTAGCAATTCCTAGACGACCCCTTTACCTTCCTCCTCTCCTCTGCCGCCTCCAGCCGCCTCTGCAGATCTTCCAGGGACAGGTCCCTCTTCTTGGGGGGAGAGGAGAGGACGGGGCTCTCCGGGGAGAGGTCAGAAGGGGACTTCAGAATCACTTCAAAGCTCTGGCCCGAAGCCCTCTTGTCCAGCTGCTTGACCTCCATATCTGTGCAAAACAAACACCTGAGATTTACACAGTGTGTGCCACCTGTGGCCTGCACTGTATGGTGCCAGGTTTGTATCGTGGATCTACTGTGCTCCAAAGTCTTCCTTCCACACGGATGAGGTTCAGTAAAGTTCTGTCGTGCTTAGGTGAGTGTAAGAATGCATAGCAAAGCAAGAGTCGAACCAGCAGCGCTTTAAAGACTAGCAAGATTAGAAGCTTTTGAGAGTCAAAGTTCCTTTGGTCAGACACCACTGGCAAAAAGCCTGCTGGTGGGTAGGGGTTCCCTCATAGCTTCACGTATGCCAAACTGGAAGCTGGGGATAATGTATCAACGAGTAAAAGGCCATATGATCACATATAAGTGCCCTATACTGAATCAGGCCGTGGGTCCATCGAGATCACTATAGTCTACTCAGACTGGCAGCAGGTCTCCAGCGTCGCAGGTCAAGGTCTTTCACAACTCCTACTGCCAGCCGGAGATGCCTGGGACATTCTACATGCCAAGGAGATGCTCTACCACTGAGCCAAAGCCTCTCCTAGAGGCAGCTGATTGGCCACTATGTGAACAGAATGCTGGACTAGACGGACCTTTGGTCTGATCCAATGAGGCTCTTCTTTTGTTCCTTTAACTCAGTGGTTCTCAACCTTCCTAATGCCGCGACCCTTTAATACAGTTCCTCATGTTGTGGTGACCCCCAACCATAAAATTATTTTCGTTGCTATCAGAAGACCATCAAAAATTTGTGTTTTCTGATGGTCTTAGGCGACCCCTGTGAAAGGGGTCGTGAGTCATGACCCACAGGTTGAGAACCACTGCTTTAACTGGAGATGATGGGGATTATAGTTGGGACCTTCTGCATGCAAAGCAGGGCCAAAGTCCCTCCCGGATATCTGTAACCCCTAGAGCAGGGGTGTTAAACATAAGGCCCTGGGGCCAGAACCAGCCCATCCAGGGCTCTTACCCAGCCCGCAAGCAACTGGTATGTATGGAAATGTAAGGTACTCCCCCTTTTATGATATCCCTTGGAAAAAAACTAGTCTTGCTTATGATTAAATACATTCATTAGGGCTTTTGTGGGCTCCCCAGTAAACCAATTGCTTTTACTGCTAGGAATTTTGTTCGTCTTTTGAGTAAAAAAGATTATTGGTAATTGGGTTTGCCTGTGTCCTTTATAAAGTTTATATCTCTGGTACCTGGCATTTTATGGCACACATGGCCCGGCCTGACAAAGGGACATTTGTGTCAGATCTGGCCCTCATAACAAATGAGTTTGACACCTCTGCCCTAGAGGGTTGTTCTTCATTAATGATAGAATTACCAACAACGGGGGTTTACAGACAGGTACTCGTGGTAATAACTTGCCAAGAAGATGTTCTACCGCCGAGCCACAGCCCTTCTGCAGGTCTGCACTACTATGGGGGCTATTTTGTGTTACAGCTGTAGACTAAGCTGCCCACACTGATTCCTAGATCTTGATTTGCGGCTTGCACTAGCAGGACTTTGGGGATAGGCACAGACCCTGTGTGGCTGGCACTGGGCACGTTTGGTCAGTCCACCCGATACTCTAAACACCTTCCAGTCTGAGAACACCACGCTGGTCTTTGTGTAGTTAAATGGTGTGGACTTTGACATTATTCGAGTCGTCTGGTTCACACTTGTGTGGTAAGCACTGGGTTACTCATGGCTTGGCAACTTGCTATTGAATATGGAAACCAGGTGGTTGATTTCTTCATTCGATGTATGTCCAGAAAATCTAATAAACTTTGGACAAGAAAACTCAAGGCAGCCAGCAAAAGAAACGTCAAAGACAAATGGGTCAAAGGAGGCCGATGGAACAGGCGACCTTTTTCTCACCTCCTGCAGAGAAGGTGGACTCATAGCTTTTGTTGTTTGTTTGTTTGTTGCCAAGTGAATCATCACTACATACTTCAGTCATAAAACACAGACGGATTTATTACTCAGCTCTGACTTGTGCAGGAGGGAAGGCAGCACGGTATAGGCCGATGTTATCAGATCTTAGAAGCTAAGCAGGGTCAGTGCTTGGATGGGAGGCCACCAAGGAAGGCTCAACAGACGATGGCCAACCACCTCTGCTTCTCACTTTGCCTTGGAAGCCCCTTGCTAGGGTCACCATACGTCAGAAGCTAAGCAGGGTCAGTACTTGGAAGGGAGGCCACCAAGGAAGACTCTGCAGAGGAAGGCAATGGCCAACCACCTCTGCTTCTTACTTCGCCTTGGAAGCCCCTTCCTGGGGTCACCATAAGTCAGAAGCTAAACAGGGTCAGTACTTGGAAGGGAGGCCACCAAGGAAGACTCTGCAGAGGAAGGCAATGGCCAACCCCCTCTGCTTCTTACTTCGCCTTGGAAGCCCCTTGCTGGGGTCACCATAAGTCAGAAGCTAAGCAGGGTCAGTACTTGGAAGGGAGACCACCAAAGAAGACTGTGCAGAGGAAGGCAATGGCAGACCACCTCTGCTTCTCACTTCGCCTTGGAAGCCCCTTGCTGGGGTCACCATAAGTCAGAAGCTAAGCAGGGTCAGAACTTGGAAGGGAGACCACCAAGGAAGACTGCAGAGGAAGGCAATGGCCAACCACCTCTGCTTCTCACTTCGCCTTGGAAGCCCCTTGCTAGGGTCACCATAAGTCAGAAGCTAAGCAGGGTCAGAACTTGGAAGGGAGACCAACAAGGAGGACTGTGCAGAGGAAGGCAATGGCCAACCACCTCTGATTCTCACTTCGCCTTGGAAGCCCCTTGCTAGGGTCATCATAAGTCAGAAGCTTAGCAGGGTCAGTACTTGGAAGGGAGACCACCAAGAAAGACTCTGCAGAAGAAGGCAATGGCCAACCACCTCTGCTTCTCGTTTGCCTTGAAAGCCCCTAACTGGGGTCACCGTAAGTCATTTGCGACTAGACAGCACTTACATACATAACTGTATCCAAGAACGCAGCCAAAATATTGCAAAGGACATGCTTGGGAAGATGTTTCCAGTCTGAAACGATGCTACGTGTTTCCAGGCATGGCTTGTGGCCCTGAGCAAATTCTTCTTCTACAGGTAACAGGTACGTCTGTCACTTACCTCCATACTGGTAGATGGTGTTTGGGTGTGGCTGGGTGTGGAAACAGGAACAAATCAATGAAAGGAGGGACAACTCCTTCATTTTCTCTTTGTAGGCTGGAAAGAAAGAGGGAGAAATTAGCAGGGGTTTCGTCGCGGACACCTGTCCTTTCCACAATGAGACGGGGGGAAGGGAGGCATGATATTTCCCCTGGAATCCCAGGAGAGCAGTGGTATTTTCAGAGGAATACAGAAGTTGGACAGACAGCTTTAACATGCAGCACGCTCCCTGAATGCCTTGCAGAGTTACCAGGTAGCCAGTAATATAAATGGTAACAGCCCAAGACAACTAGTAAACCGGAAAACAGGCTGACACTCAGCGCTTAGGATGAAACGAAATACAATTTCACCACTGTATTTAACAATGTTGTTTTATAATAGCTAATAACACATCCACACTGTTACATATTCTGTCTTTCATATGCACACCCAAAATACAGGGGGAAAATGGGTTCAAAATCAGTGTTCCCTCTAAGCTGAGTTAGTGTGAGCTAGCTCAGTTTTTTAGCCTCCAGCTCACAGATTTTTGTCTCAGCTCAGGAAGGATGGCTCCAGGGCAAACGAATTTATGCAGCAGCCAAATTGCTCGCTCACAACTTTAATGCCAGTAGCTCACAGAGTAGAATTTTTGCTCACAAGACTCCACAGCTTAGAGGGAGCATTGTTCAAAAGTACAGGAAAAAAGTGGGTTGACAAAATACTAGAATGTATCCTCATCCATTTTACTGGAGAATCTTATCCTGGGCGTACAAACAGATCAATTTGCCTTCAAATACATTATAGTATTTGAAATCATGGCATGGAATATCATGTGAAGACACTATGAATAGTAGATTTTCAAGAGAGACTACCACGGTGCTTCAGTATGTTCGAATGAAGTTGTGAAAGAAACGAAAATCAACTCCGGGGAGTTTCGTCAACCCACTCTTTTTCCCTGTGTTTTGGGTGTGCATATGAAACACAGAATACGTAACAGTGTGGATATGTTATTAGCTATTATAAAATAACATTGTTAAATACAGTGGAGAAATTGTATTTCGTTTCATCCTAAGCGCTGAGTGTCAGCCAGTTTTCCGGTTTACGAGTTACCAGGTAGTTGCACGCCCTGATGCTCGGTGGAACAATGCTCTCTCTTAAGTAACGAGTGAGTAAAATAAATGGCTCTTTGGCTTATTCCATTCATTTCCGTGGACTGTCTGGAGGTGACTTTTTCAGATGGATATCTTCGTGTGTGTGTGTGTGTGTGTTTATCCTTAGTATGTTTATGGCCAGGGACCTGCATACCTGAGGGACCTCCTTTCCCCATATGTTCCGCAGAGGGTGCTGCGATCAGGGACCCAAAACCGGCTGGCCCTCCCGAACATCAAGGAGGCCAGGCTAGCGACGAGGGCCAGGGCTTTCTCGGTGGTGGCTCCATTCTGGTGGGACGAGCTCCCGCTGCCACCACAGCCACCAATGACATCCGGCAGCCAATAGAGACCGAGACCGAGACCGACCCCTGCCCCCCCCAAATGTAGCCTGACCCAAGTGCCCGGGTCATCTGAAGGAGACTTGGAGGCTTCTACTACTCATCTGAAGGACATCTGGAGGCGATACAGAGGCTGGCTGTTATGCTGAGGAATTCAATGCTAGCACTTTAATAGTTGTATAGTTGTGGTCTTAAATATGTCTTGACTGGATTTTACTGTTATATTGTACTGTTTTATAAGGTTGTAAGGAGCCCTGAGCCGGCCTTGCTGGGAGGGCGGGGTAAAAATCTAATTTAATCTAATTAATTAATTAATGCCCTGACCTGGATGGCCCAGGCTAGCCCAGTCTTGTAAGATCTCAGAAGCTAGGCAGGGTCAACCCGGCTTAGTACTTGGATGGGAGACCACCAAGGAAGTCCAGGGTTGCTACGCAGAGGCAGGCAAGGGCAAACCACCTCTCTGTATCTTGCTTGTCTTAAAAACCTTTACAGGTTTATATATAAGTCACCTGCGACCTGACGGTGCTTTACACACGCACATGTTTGTCTCTTTATTATAATATGAAATCGACAAAACCGGGTTCGCGGTGAACTAAACCGGAGAAGAACAACATTCGCCGCGATGAGTGAAACCTTAATGCATTCTGCCAAAAGTTATACATGTATCCAATACATACAGTCAGGGGTCATTTCCTGCAGGAGCACACAGGAGCGGAGCTCCAGCAGTAAAGAGCCCAGGGGGCGGGCACATGCAACAAGCCCCACCCCCTGCTCCCAACAGCCCTCAGTCAGAGCAAGAAGCAGCCAGGTAAGTTGCAGAGCCCCCCCCCCCAAAAAAAACAGTCCAGTGGCACCTTTAAGACCAAGTTTTATTCAGGTACAAGCTCTTCCTCCTCTGCGAGGACAGATCTGCACGTTCCCCCCCCCATAGCTAGCAATCCAAAACAGTCCAGTGGAGCCTGAGCGGTGGGTGTTGCCTTCTGACACACTTCCGGTGATGTCAGGGTGTGTGGCACATGCAAATAAGTTATGCTAATGAGTTATGCTAATGAGCTCCTGCACCTCTTTTTCTACAAAATGACCCCTGCATACAGTACATTAACAATTCTACTTTTCAGGTTTTCACCATATATTTGAGGACCTTGCAACTCTATAACTTATTTTCTGACTGGAATCCTCAACAGTAATAAACTGAACACCGTAGATATGGGGTATCTTTACAGTCCAGTATTCTAGTACACTGTGGTTGCCCTCTATTGAATTGTACACGATCTTCTTGAGAATGAATTCTCTCGAACAGTAAATTCTGAGAAGTAATACTTCAACATGCCTCAGCTGTATAGCAATCAAAAACTTCCTAACTGTAAGAGTGGTTGAGCAGTGGAACAGACTGCCTTGGGATGCGGTGGATGCTCCTTCGCTGGACGACCATCTTTCGGGTATGTTGCAGGGCTATCTTTCGGCTACGCTCCTCCAGAGTGCAGGGGGTTGGACTAGATGACCTGCAAGGTCCTTTCCAACTCTAACGTTCTATAATTCCCTGAAAATGCATTTCATAAAGAATCCAGCGACCCGACAGGTAGCCACTGATGTCCCCCTGTTCCAGTTTCCTGTTTTCCAACTGGTTGGCCACCGTGTAAGACAGGATGCTGGACTAGGTGGACTATTGGTCTGATCCAGCAGGGCTCTCCTTAAATGTTGTTTTAATGTTTGGATTTTCTCTTCCTTGGGGACCCCACTTGAGTGGAAAGGTGGCATAGAAATGTTTTAGATCAAATAAATAATACATAAGCCACCTGCCTGGAAACCCGTGCCTTACATTGGAAGCAGCATATGATCAGAGATCTTGTGATCCAACCTGTTTGGTGTAGTGGTTAAAAGTGCAGTGGTGGTTGACTGTGGACTCTAATCTGGGAGAACCGGGTTTGATTCCCCACTCCTCCACATGCAGCTGCTGGCATGACCTTGGGTCAGTCACGAGCCTGGCTGGATGACTTTGGGCAAGCCGTAGTTCTGGCAGAGCTTTTCTGCCAAGGGCAGTTTCTGTCAGAGCTCTCTCAGCCCCACCTACCTCACAGGCAGTGTTCCCTCTAAGCTGAGTTAGTGTGAGCTAGCTCACAGTTTTTTAACCTCCAGCTCACACATTTTTGCCTTTGCTCAGGGAGGAGGGCTCCAGAGCAGACTAATTTATGCCGTAGCCAAATTACTTGCTCACAACTTTAATGCTAGTAGCTCACAGAGTAGAATTTTTGCTCACAAGACTGCACAGCTTAGAGGGAGCATTGCTCACAGGGTGTCTGTTGTGGGGAGGGGGAAAGGAGATTGTAAGCCGCTCTGACACTCTTTTGGGTAGTGAAGGGCGGGGTCTAAATCCAATCTCGTCTCTTCTTCTTCTGAAATGAGAAGAAGAGATTGGATTTACACTCCCGCCCTTCACTACCCGAAGGAGTCTCAGAGCGGCTTACAAACTCCTTCCCCTTCCCACAGCAGACACCCTGTGAGGTAGGTGGGGCTGAGAGAGCTCTTTCGAAGACTGCTCCTGAGAGAAATTCAGAAGAAGAGGAGGAGGAGGAGGAGGAGATTGGATTTATACCCTGCCCTTCACTATCTGAAGGAGTCTCAGAGCGGCTAACAATCTCCTTCCCTCCAGTTTGGTGTTGTGGTTAAGTGTGCGGACTCTAATCTGGGAGAACCGGGTTTGATTCCCCACTCCTCCACTTGCACCTGGCTGGATGACCTTGGGCAAGCCGTAGTTCTGGGAGAGCTTTTCTGTCAAGGGCAGTTCCTGTCAGATCTCTCTCAGCCCCACCTGCCTCTCAGGGTGTCTGTTGTGGGGAGGGGAAGGGAAAGGAGTTTGTAAGCCGCTCTGAGACTCTTTTGGGTGGTGAAGGGTGGGGTATAGATCCAATCTCTCCTCCTCCTCTTCTTCTTCTTCTTCTTTCTTCTTCTTCGCTTCCTAAAGGCACCGCCAGCAATTTTAATCATCACAGCTGAGCTCCGTGAGCATACGATGCCAACGCCAGGGCATCTCTCCGCCCCACCCCCGGTGGTCTTTCTGCAATCTCTCGTGCTCTCCCCTCCCTGCGGCAAAGAAGCCCTTTCTTTCTCCCGTTGTCAATTAAAGGGAAAAGTGTACAGAAAGTGGTACAGCTGCTGTCAAGCGGGCTAATGAGATGAGGCGTGCAAGGCACGTACATCTCCTGGCACTGGAGACTCCGCCGCTCCATCTTGGCGGCGCCAGCTATCAGAAGCAATTAGTTCCTTCCAGACAACACACGTTGCAGGGAGGGGAGAAAAAAATGTTTAAAAAACCTCTCTCTTGGCTTTGTGGCGAGTGAGGTGGTGGAAGAAGAAGCCACAGGGGAGGAAATTTGGAGGAGCTCTTTGCCCTGAGCTGATCCCTTGGCGATTAATATGAGGCCCTAACCGAACCTTCCAGATGGAGCCCCTGTCTGTCCTGCAGCAAAAGCATCTTCAAGGGCAGGAGCCGTGTTCGCGTCAGAGCGGCCTCCCTAGAGTCCTCTTCTCGGCCTCCCCTGCCGCCCTCCTCCTCCTCCTCCACCCCCTTCGAAAAATAAAGACATCTCTG